CCTGACCAACTTGGTGGCCCTCTATGATGGGGCTATAGAACTGATGGACAGAGGTAGAGCAGTTGATGTCACCTACCTGGACTTGTGCAAAGCGTTTGACACTGCCCCACACAACATCCTTGTCTCTAAATTGGAGAGGTATCAATTTGATGGATGGACCACTCGGTGGATAAAGAACTGGCTGGATGGCCGCACACAGAGTTGTGATCAGTGGCTCAATGTCCAGCTGGAGACCAGTAATGAGTCGTGTCCCTCAGGGATCGGTGTTGGGACCGGTCTTGTTCAACATCTTTGTCACTGACATGGGCAGTGGGATTGAGTGCGCCCTCAGCAAGTTTGCCGATGACACCAAGCTGTGTGGTTCAGTTGATACCCTGGAGGGAAGGAATGCCATCCAGAGGGACCTTGACACACTTGTGAGGTGGGCTGATGCCAACTTCATGAAGTTTAATCATGACAAGTGCAAGGTCCTACACCTGGGTCAGAGCAATCCCAGGCACAGCTACAGGTTGGGCAAAGAAGAGATTCAGAGCAGCCCCGTAGAGAAGGACTTGGGGGTGCTGGTCAATGGGAAAATGAACATGAGCCGGCTTCAGTGTGTGCTCCCAGCTCAGAAAGCCAACCGTATCCTGGCCTGCATCAAGAGAAGCGTGACCAGCAGGTCGAAGGAGGTGATCCTGCCCCTCTACTCTGCTCTCGTGAGACCTCACCTGGAGTATTGTGTGCAGTTCTGGTGTCCTCAACATAAAAAGGACATGGAACTGTTGGAAAAAGTCCAGAGGAGGGCCACAAGGATGATCAGGGGACTGGAGCACCTCCCATATGAAGATAGGCTGAGAAAGTTGGGGCTGTTCATCCTGGAGAAGGCTGCGTGGAGGCCTCATAGCAGCCTTCCAGTATCTGAAGGGGACCTATGGGGATGCTGGAGAGGGACTCTTCATTAGGGACTGTAGTGACAGGACAAGGGGTAATGGGTTCAAACTTAAACAGGGGAAGTTTAGATAGGATATAAGGAGGAAATTCTTTCCTGTTAGGGTGGTGAGGCACTGGAATGGGTTACCCAGGGAGGTTGTGAATGCTCCATCCCTGGCAGTGTTCAAGGCTAGGCTGGACAAAGCCTTGGGTGAGATGGTTTAGTGTGAGGTGTCCCTGGCCATGGCAGGGGGTTTGGAACTTGATGATCTTAAGGTCCTTGCCAACCCTAACTGTTCTATGATTCTATGATTCTAAGGTCTCTACTAAATCTTGTGGGTAACTTTGCTCCAGCAACCAGCCTTTGTTGGGGTCACCCATTCAACCTGGGCTCTGCCTTCACATTGAGGTTGGTGGGTCCTGCATCGCTGCTCCTAAGTCACTACTTGGACCATTTCCACTGTTTTGGTCCCACCCCCAGCCCCTCCACACCCTCCCTTTGTGCCTTGGTCATAGTTTGAGGCTTGCAAGGGGCAATGGGTTTGCAGTTGGGGTTACATCTGCAGTTGGGGTTAGATCCCGGAGCTGGGACTACATCCTGCAGTCTTTGCTTTTGCTTCTAGGTCCCATCCAGGATCTGCCTGGCCTTTTCAAATGCTTAGACACTGGTGCTGTGGGGCAACCAGTGGCCTGGAGAGGTGCTCAGAAGGAGCTGACTTTACCCAAAACAAGAGACTAAAAAAGTTTAAGAAACTGGTATTAATACACAGATAGACTCCACAACTCGTTAAAGTTGTAAAGTAGGTATGCTTTTATTCAGTGCTGAGACACATGGGGGATAGCTCCTCCAAAGGCATGTGTGCTTCAGTGTAGTTTCCCTCTTATATTTATTCTCTAAAGTTATACATATTCATAAGGTTGCACAATCCTATCCCTGCTTCGTATTATAATGAGCTAGAAGGTCCTTTGCGCCTGCACAGTGCCCCCCTGGTCGTGAGTGAAGGTCTCAAGATGAAGTAAATGAGTCTTCCTCTTGTGAGTAGGGGTCTTCGAGATGAAGTAAATGAGCCTTCCTCAAGCCTGAACTTTTACCAGTCTGTTTCTCCCCCGTATCAATAGTCTATTGTCCTGGTACTGCATGGCAAGTTTGACAGGTATTTGCAAACAATGCTTTCTGTTACACAGGCAAAATTCCTTTATCCCCCCCTGCACATTGGTCAAGCCTCTGCATCAATATCACTGGCAAAAGGACAGTGAAGACTTCTGCTGCAGTGAGCTTTCTCCTCACACGTCCATCTCATCTTCAGGATCACAAGGTGCAAACCCTGGATTCATTTATAAAACAAGAGTCTCTGCTGAGTGCTACACGTAGATGTAAAGCAGACTCAATGCTGGGCAGAGGGTAAAACGCATGATTATAAAGTCACAAAAATTCTTTTATTTCCTTGTTATTTATGTCAACAATCACAGGCATGTTTGAATTGGAGAAAACTCCAGGAACAAACTTGCCAGCAAAGTTTTCAAGTTGACAAGCAGGTATTCTTTATTGCGGTGCCAGGAGACACAAGGGGATAGCTCCTCCTAATGTGTATCACCTTATTGCTATGCAGGCGATCCTTACATAGTCACTGGGCATACATACATATTCATGAGGCTACACATGGATTACATAATTTTCCAGAAAGTTTCCCGAATGCATACAAAAATGTTATGGTGGTCTTTGAGAGTCGTTTACTTCTTCCAACAACCTTCATAACTTCTGGCAGTCTTTGAAGCACCAACTTAATTAACATTACAGACATAGCAATACATCTGTCCTTCTACTTATCAGTTAGTTTACCTACTTCCATCCTGGACATCTGTTAGTCCCAGATACTCCCCAGTAGATGTTTACACCAGCTTAATGGATTCATTAACACCACAAACATAGCAATCATCCTGTCCTTCCACATATCAGTTAGTTTAACTGCCCCCATCCTGGACATCTGCTAGTCCCAGATACTCCCCATCCTCAGGTCCTGCTTTTCTATTCTGTTTTTCTTATGCTTTTTGTACTAAGGTCCTGAGGACCTAAAACTATGTCAACTACCTTCAAGCACCTCAGTTATTTTTCATTACAAAGCCATCAAACTTAATGTTACTTAGAACTGATTACATTTTGTGCTTTTGTGCCTCCTTGTCTCATATTCACTCTTGCCCAAGCTGCTTCCATCCAGGACTTGTATTAGGCCTTCCCTTGGCCCAATGCTGTTTTAACACTCCATATGTATCTCCAACTGCTTTGTGAGGTGAAAGCAAATGCCTGGCATTTTCTTCAAATACTGAGAATGAGGGCAGAAAAAGCAGATAGGAATTAGTACTAATGACCTTATGAAGGATGCTTTTCCCCAAACATCTAACTACTGAACCATGTTCTGTTTAACCAACTAGCACTTTCTAGACTTTGTGGTCTGCTATGCATGTAAGAACCCAAATACTCATAGATGTTTTTATTCTAAACAGGGGAAATCATGGTAGGCATTTGCAGTCTGTGTAATACTTCACACACACAGGTCCTGAAAAAATCAATTTAAAATGCACTTTCAACAGTGTAGGAACCTACACAAAGCCAACAGAACATCAGGAATGTTACAGACTATGGATAATTCCTCTTGACTACAACACTCCCCATATGTAAGTAACCAAGTTGTGTTGAAGTGGCAGCTGCTGTCACAGCTCACAGACACACACCGCGGTGCCAGATCTTCTCTGTAGTACAGAATCCAAACCAGATTTTCACCCACAGAAAGAAAACAAAACCCTGCTGTGCCAAGATCTCCTTGTCTTCAGCTGGATTCAGCAGGTACAGTCTGGACATGACTCCACTGTGGTGAAGCCGTGTGGCAGCGCTGAGATGCAGAACAAGCAGAAGTCCTCTCCTACTGCCTCAAGGCAGTGATGGCTGCAGCACTGAGGATAAAGGTCTGCCTGGAAGGATAAAATCATTCCGTCAGTTCAGAAACCTATTTTTTCCAGGAACCTAAAACTCAGAAGCCGGGGAGCAAAAATACTTTATTTGCTTTTAATCAGCCCAAACATGCTGAGACTGGCTTGGTGTGTTAAAGCAATGAGTAAGCTGTCAATACTGAGTCAGCTCAGTCCTGCAACCCAGACACCAGGTCTTATTCTTTCCACTTCTGTTAGCCACAGCATGTTCATTAGTGAAGTAATGCAGTGATTTACATAACATTTCAAAACACAGTTTCAAAACACCTCTGGTCATAGCAGTCAGATTGTTACCACAGAAGTCAGTCAGAGGAACTCAATTTAAAGTTTTAGACTCAATTTAAAGTTTTAGAAATCAGGCATTTTTTATTGCAGCAGTGGGCACACACATGAATAGCTTTGCAAAGGTGAGTGCACCTGTTACTTGCCGACAGCAGGTGTATATTTGGCATACTCATGCATATTCACAGGTTTTCCAGGAAGTAATTATAATATTTGCATCCTAATTAAGTATGCACTTTCTTGCTGAGTGGGGGTCTCTGGTGTTCTTCAACAGTCTTTCTCACTGTGTTTACTGAATTACCTCAGTGCTTGAGGATGCTTGCAACATCCCAGTGCTGAGTTAGCAGTTGGTATGTCTGCTTCTGTTCTGTTCCAGTCTTGCCCCACGCTGGGTGCCACTCTGCTATCTTGAAGGCTAGCATCCTTGGTCTTATTTACTGTTTCCTTAGCTGTTATCAGTCCCCCGATGTTCCTTCCCCCATCAGCCAAACATTCCTTTCTCTCTACATATTAGTAAGCTAGAACAGTTTGGTCTATTCTACTATGTTAAAGGCACACACACTATTGTTAGTTTAAAATTTAAGCCTACAAGATCAGTGTGTGCACAGATTCAGTGGGTTTGGGTTTGAGATCTGCTGGCATCCACGGTCACTGGTAGAATTTGACTACTTAGATGATGATTTTCTACTTGCCCCTGCCATCCCCTTAGATGAAACTTTTCTGCACAACAGCAAAGCCTGACACCCCAATTAGAATGCAACAAATAACTCCTACCTGCTGATTGCCCCACTATTTCACCCACAGCTTCCTCCTTACTGTACTCTTTTCTCTCTGCAATTCCAGCTCCTCCACCTCCCTTCCATTCTGGGCTGGTGCATGTGCTGTGGTGGGACCAGGACCGTGCACTGAGCCTGCACTGGAGCACACCAGCTCTGCAGCCTCCTAAGACATGAAGAAAACAGCCCCCCAAAGGAGGGAGCCATCCCCTGGTGCTGGGCTAATGAAGGGCCCAGCTGGTGTCATCAAAATGCTTAAATTAGAGCAGGAAAGGTGCAACCATGTGCCTAAGGGAACAGAGCTGCTTTAGAGAAGTAGAGTAAGGGAAGAGATGAATAGGTGAGACAGGCTCTCACTACCAGGCATGACTTCACCTACAGGCCTTCCTCTTGCCTCCCAGCAATGACACTGCCTTTCTTTCACAGCAGTTCATGCACTTCAAAGGGCGAACAGCATAAAAGGAATCTAAATATAGGTTAAAGCCTGAAACCAAAGAGCAGCTGTTTCATTAGCAACAAGAGAAGCAGGAGAAAGAATTGTAGGACAGAGCTTTCCAAATGTGCCAAATTACTTGTATTTTTTGTATTTTAGGTATTTTTTGCTATCTTACAGATATTATTCTAGTATCTGGACACATTTCGGATGTGCAGTAACTGATGTAGTTGGGACCTGCCACGTGTGTGTTGTTCTCTCCTTATGCTGAGGAAGATCACTGGGAATCAGCTTCCTGGGTCATATCAGACATCCTACTGGACCACCTTGCACTGGAACAAGAGGCTTGCAGAAGCTCAAGTGACAGCAGGAGATAACTGTGGTGGTGTGTCCCCCCACTCTCTCCTGGACCCATCTGCTTCCCAAAGAATTCCTGTTAGCCTTTGCATAAATGCATGAAGTTGGATAGCTGGGCACTCCTTGACCATTGACTCCAATCCCTCAACGAAGGAAAGAAGGACCATGCAGGTAACAGGAATGCCTGGATACTTCCTTAGCACATCAGGAGCTCTTTTGAAATGGCAAATCATTCCTGACAAATACCAGATACCAGGATGAAAATTTACATGACTCAGGCCAATCATCTTAACACCCTATGAACAATGATCCCAATAGAGAGCCCCTTTGAGCTCTCCTGGACCACAGCAGGCTGCGACCCAGTTGTCTCCCTCTGACTGGGACCCTCCCAGAACCTGTAAACCCTCAAAGTTTATGAAATAGAGGGATTATCTGCCTGTTGCTCATTGGTACTCAAACCTTTGCCCCTTAAGGAGTGCTCAGAAAGCTGACGTGAGTCTATTATTAGTGATACTGCTTTTCACTGCACTTGAGGGAAATTTTTAACATACATATGTATATACATCTATATATCCATATATTTCCATCTTAGTGTGTTGTGTTAGTTTAGACACTTAACTTTAAGTGCATGTATATTAGCTTCAATAATCAAGTGTTTAATCAATAATTAAGTACTTTAATGGACTTATAATACTTGGCATAATTGGGAAGCTGTAAAAATAAAACAAAAAACAACTAATAGTGGCCAGAGGCCACAAAAAGAATAGGAAAGGAAAAGGAATTATTTCTAAATGTTAGGCTCCTGTCTAGAAGGTGCTTATCAGCACAGGACAGATGACATCAAAAAGATACAGGACCTAACTGAAGGACTGAAAAAAGAAAGAAAACAGAATATGGACTCCGCTCAGTATAAACACACTCAGTTTTGCAACATAAGCTTCTTCTTAGTCCAGTCTGCATAAACTAGTTGTATCAGCCTGATCCAAGCACTTGCACGTGTGACGTAACATTTTCAATAGGACACTCCTAGGAAAAGCTAAGAGCTTTTGATTGAAGGACTTTTCCAAGGACTTCCTAATATTTCAAAATCCACAGAAACCATTAGAAAGCAAACAAGTGCATGTTTAGCATTTGGAGCAAGAGCCACAGAGGCTTCCGTTCATTACGCTACAGCACCGTCAAGTGGCTGTATAAACATAATATGCATAAACTGCCAATGAAAGGAAAAGAAAGCAGTATAAATCCCCATAAACAAGCAGATTATAGAAAAGGAAATTACACAGAATACACTCCACTAAATAACGAAATATCCCGGTGGGAGGAGCTGCCCTACGGACTCACGTAACTGCTACGTCGCTCCCTCGTGACTACCGTAATGACCGCCCCGCAGCGACAGATAGTCGCCCTTCCTGTCTTCTCGGAGCCGCCGCTCGGGTTCTCCACTTCGTAGGGCGGGCACAGGGCCGGTCGTGCCTGCTCCGGGAACGCAGGAGGCGGGTGCCGGCGTCCCGGCCCGCGGCCAGGTACCGGGGCAGAGGAAGGGGCAGACTGAGGACACGGGCCGCGCCGGGGTAGGGTGGGGTCCAGCCGCGGCGAGGTACCGGGCCAGGTCCCGCGAAGCGGCTGGGCCGCGTGTGGAAGGAGCCGCCCGCGGACCGGGGGTGCCCGTAGGCTGCAGAGAGCGCTTCAGGGACGCCCAGCTCTTCTTGCCCCCCGGTCTGCGGCTGCCCAGGCGGGTCCTGGGGCCAGCGCTCTCCGGCGGCTTCCCGCTGCAGTGCGGCTCGGACCTGGCCACAGCACCGGCCAGGGGCTGTCACCGCTCGGAGGAGCAGCTGCCGTACCGTGCTTAAGCGTGGGGCCTCGTTGGCAGGGAAATAACGAGGGAAGAGAATACAAAACTGAAAGGGGAAAGGCAAAAGAAACAGCAAGCACAAGTGATGCACAGTGCAATTGCTCACCACGTGCCGGTTGATATGCAGCCCGACGCGAGCAGCTATTTGGGCCTTCCGGTTAGCTCCTCCCCCAGTTTCTATGCTGAGTATGACGTGCTGTGGTATGGAATACCCCTTTGGCTAGTTTGGGTCAGGCGACCTGTGTCATGCAGAGCATGAGAGACTGAAACGTCTTTGATCAGGGTATTTGTCCTGAGTTCAACAGTAGCATTTTTCTCCTTAGTAGCTGGTGCAGTGCTGTGTTTTTTGACTTTCAGGCTGGGAACAGTGCTGATAACACCGATGTTTTTAGTTGTTGCTAAATAATGTTTACTCCAGCCAAGGACTTTCTGGGTTTAGCTATGTATTGGTCAGCAGGTGGTGAGTGGTTGTATTCTCTTTCCTTGTTATTTCCCTTATCATTGATTTCCCTTATCACTGTTATTATTGGTGGCAGCAGTAGTGGTTTGTGTTATACCTTAGTCACTGGACTGTTCTTATCTCAACCCATGGGAGCTACATTCTTTGGATTCTTCTCTCTATGGGGGGGGGGGGGGGGGGGGGGGAGTAGGGGGAGGAGAATGAAAGGGGGGAGTGAGCAAGTGGCTGCATGATTCTGAGTTACCAGTTTAAACCACAGCAGTGTTACTGATCAACAGCTAATGACATCAGTGTTATCAGCATTGTTCTCAGGCTGAAGCCAAAACACAGCACTGCACCAGCTACTATGAAGAAAATTAACTCTATCCCAGCTGCAACCAGGCAATCTGAAGCTTTTTCCAGGAATACTTACAAAACAAGTGAATGGGATAATCTCTGTTACCAGTACACTGTCATGTGGACAAACTGTGGTGATAGACTTGATGTGCTTTGCCTGTGTTTCCCATAGTGGTATTTCAGGTAGGGCAGTCAACTGCCAAAACAGGGGCATGCCAAGGGTAGAACTGTAGTGAGTATTTTTTGTTTTACAGAAGACAAATTGTTAGGGGCTTTTTGTTGGTTTGTTTTTAAATAGAGTGTTTCCCAAGAGCTCTGACTTCTAATACACATGCAAATTCTGAAAATTCATGTTGCCACTTTCATACTGACCTAGCGTGATTCCTCATCCACACACACAGGCCCTACCTACCACAGTGGGAATTTGCCAAGAGCATCAAGCTTGGTGCATAGCCTGTAACAGATAACTTTGAATAATTTGGTGTTAGCTAAATTGCTGATCAAATGTTAACTCTGCTGCGGTGAGCTTTGATCATACGCAGTTCCAGTTACTAGGTTGGAAAGACACAATTTATGAGCCTAAGGAAGAACAAAAGATTAGTTCTGAGTATAGCTGCTTGATCACCAAGGTAAACTTGGACACATGGTCTTTTAAAAGAGATTAAAAAAGAAAGTACCATTCCAAGTTAGTGCTTCAGTAAAAGTACATAAATAGGCAAAAAAAAAGAGAAGGAAAATAAACTGCAAGAAGCAGCAGCAATACAAGTGAAAACAATTGCTCATTACCAACCAACCCCCAGCCATTCCCTGAGCACCATGCTCCCAACCTCCTCCCTCGGGTTTATTGATGAGCGTGATGCCAGCTGGCCTTTGGGTCAGTTGGCGTAAACTGTCCTGCCCGAGTCACCTCCCAGCTCCTTGTGCATGTGAAGGAGGTATAGGGGGAGGCGGGGCCTGAGGAGTAGAGGAGGCTTTAGCACTGTAGAAGCACTGCTCAAGATTGGCTAAATCATGAGGGTGCTATCAACACCATTTTCAGTGCTAATTCAGGACATTGCCTTGTACCAGCTGCTGTGAAGAAACTGAACTCTCATCTTAGCCAAAACAGTACACAGCTTTTTGTCTGAATTCTGGTTTTGCATAGTGTGTAGGTAAACGTTAACATTCCAGTTAGGCTGTATTCATTGTAGTGAAGGTTCTCAAGTATTTTAAAGCAGATGAGTTCCTTTCTTTTGTTAGAAATTTGTTCTTTATGTTGCAGTAGAAAATAAGGCGAGAAGACTTCAGGCTCTGATGTGTCAGGGCCAGCACTGGATTTGCAGTAAACTTTAGCATGGTGTGAAACCACTCTACAGTAGCAAGCTTTTTATTTGGTAATGGAATTAGTGTTTAAATAACTGCCCAATATTTACATCAAACAGTTGGAGGGCAGTACAAAAGCCACATGACCATAGCAACTGAAGACATCTAGAACCACCAGCTTTTGTGTATACCCCAGGCTGCTTATTGTAAAGGCTCAGGTTGATTCTGCTCATGTCAACTTGCCCCTGGTCTACATGGGAAGAATACCTAGGGAAGAACTGTTGGATGTGAATTACTGACATAAGGCGTCCCATGCAGCCTACCTTCAGCACTTTTTTTTCCTAGAAACTACTTGGAAACAGGATGGATGAATTGTTTAGCCATCAGCAGTCTCTTCCTGGGGACCACCTTTGCAACTGGTCTTGACAAGCAAGGTTTGTGCTGAGAGAGGAGGCCCCCAGGAAACTAATGACTGGTACCTGAAGAGTTCATCCACCTCATATGTGGCTCCCAGATGGCTTTTGAGAAAGTAATCCTACTAAGCATTTTGAATTGATGCTTATAGTAGTGGGGAAAAAAAAATCCCAAAAGCCTCCAAAATGAATAAGGTGTTTGGTTTAATTCCAGAATTAAAGTTAGTGTATTTTTAGTCTTCTCTAGGGTAGAAAGCTATAAGTTCTTTACATGTCTTTTAAATTACTTAGACCTAGTCTGTCGAGCTTGTAGGTAAATGTTTGCAGCACAAATCTCATTGATTTTTTTAATACTTTTTTTAGGGTGATCTTCATGAAAATACTAAAGACTTCAAAGGATTCACTTTAGGCAAAATAAACAAATTAAATTGTTCTGAAAATAAACAAATTAAATTGTTCTGAAAAAGTAAAATGGATGCTTGTTCAGTCGGAGTTCAGCTTCAAACTACCAATGAATGCCATAAGACCTATTATACCCGTCACACTGGTTTCAAATCTAAGCAAGATCTATCTTCATCTGATCTACTGTTACTTCAGCTTAGGACTGGAATAACCCTTTCAGAGAACAATACAATCTGCTTCCACCATGCAAAAATTTACATTGAAAGATTTGAAGACTTGCAGAAGTCATGTTGCGATCCCTTCAATATACACAGGAAACTATCAAAGAAAAACTTGCGAGCAATTGACTTGGATGATGCAACTTTTCTAAGCGCCAAGTTTGGAAGGCAGTTTGTACCTGGTTGGAAACTTTGTCCCAAATGCATGCAGATAATAAACGGAAGCGTGGATGTTGAATCTGAAGATCGCCAAAGACGAAAACTTGATTCAGACGTATGTATATGGATCAGTTTTCCCAGTCCCTCTTAAGTTCTGCAAGCTGTTGGAACTTTGCTTCATACAAGCCTTAGCTAAAGAAATAAAGTTTCTTAATAGAAATTTGAAAGGTTAGTCTGCTAGTTGTGTAGGAGTTTACTATGCTCCAACCTTTACTTAGAGTACCTTAAAAATTCCACTTCCCTAATTATCTACTATGGTCTTTTAGATGTGAATGGTTGTGTCTACTGTGGTGGTTTACAACTTATAAGTCTGTGTATATACCAGACTGCTGCTGGTATTTTAAGCTGTTACTCAAGCCTTGCAAATAACAAGCTCATGTGCTTAAAACTGAACACTGCAAAGGTTTCTTCCAAAGGATTTGAGATAAACTTTGGGTTTAGTAACTTCAGTTTGAAAATAAAATTATCCACCATCTCAGACAGTTCATTACCAAGTGGCTCTACATTGAGGCAAAATTAAGTGTACTAGTTGTGGCATCTGAGCTGTGAAGGCCATGGTGTTTGTTCAGGAGCATTAGTGGACTGTGGGCAGTGGGAGGATAATGCTTTAAGTGCCAAGTTTGGAATACAGCTTGTACGTTGTTGAATGCAGTGTTCTAGCTGTATGCAGGCAATCAGTAGAAGTGCTGGCAACCAAATTGGCAAGAGCTCATCCATATATGCCCTGTAGCAAAGCAGAATTGCATTCCAAGAGCTGTTGCCCAGCTGTATTTTTCAGTTGC